TACAAGCACCGTCAAAAGTGAGGAAACTCCGAAAGAGGCTCCCTCTCTTTGGAAGTGGGGCGCTTCAGGCCAGCCAGTGGGCCCTGTCTTCGGGTTCTCCTCTTTCTCCAAGAACCTCCAACAAAAAAATACTTCAGATCAGGCTGCAGGCTACTTAGGAGCATGCTTGCTGGGAACTTGGAGCCTTACTTGATCTCCACTCCGGCCTGCTGCCATCTAAGGTGATGTAAGAGGTATGCACGAAATAGCATGACTTTTGGAGCATTAGATGTTGCTTCAGACGCGGGAATTTCCACACCCGATCCTGCCTGCCAAGAGAGACTTCATCCAGCATGGCAAAGAAAGCCTCCCCAGAATCAACGAGTACCATAGTTGCACTGGGCCACTTGGATGTCTTCCAGGGGCACCACACAGTGCGCGCTACTTTAATTTTTGTTTGGCTGTTGGTCCCAGGATGTCCCAGGCATGCAAAATCAAACATGACATGGCTCTTGGCACACTGTGCACACCTTGAGCTCTTCTGCAACTGCGACACAATTTCTCCTGGTGCCTGCTTCTCGGGTCCAGGTCTTAGCCTTTGTGTTAGGGAGCTGCCTTCAGGAACCACACATTTTGAGCTGTCGAAGCTTGGCCTCTGCATCCGCCACCACAGTGGGGGCTGGCATGATGACACCCCAGTCAAAGGCCTGGCAAAGCAGAGACACGAGCCATCTGTAGAGTCTGCTTCCTGGGATGTAAAGGCTTTCAGTCACAGTTGGTCCTTTTACTTGCTAGTTTCTCATGCACACGGAAAGACCATAGATCCCGCATTTCGTAGCCTTAAAGCTGCAATCTGGGAGGCTGGACTGGTGCCTGCAGGTATTCCGGTTCCCAGGGTGCTCAGAGCTGTAAGGATGAAAAAGGAATGGTGCGGCTCCCCTCAGCTCTGTGGCACGAAGCCTGCCCCCATACCCGCCTATACCCTGCATCATAAACCTGGCGAATACCCCAAGGCCCACCTACACGATGAGCTGGCAGCCTAAGCCGCCACTAAACCTTAGCCCTGCCCACCCCCGTGCCATAGAGGCGCAGCAGCAGCCACGAAAGGCCACGCGCAGCCCGGCCAGCAGCGCAGAAGAAGCGGCGCCTCTGCACTCAGTCATAGCAACGGTCACGGCAGGCAGTGCCAGTGAAGGGATACAACATGAGCAATTACGGTTCCGAATGATCATAACAAGGTCAATATTGCAAGCCAAAATAGTCAGTGCGAGAACAACTCACATGATACTACGTCGATACTGACTGTAACGAGAGTTGGAATGGTAGGATATCTTGCGTTGCGGAGATCCCCCGCCGCTACTTTGAGTGCTGGGCGGAAGTTGGAAGTCGCCGGCGGTGCCAGGGTCTCCTTGCAAGGTCCAGGGTAGTAACAACTATGAGGGCGAGAACGCTTGCAGAAACATGTACGAGTGGTTGCCACGGCACATCGAGATGAATCACGTCTTCCGTTGCACGGCGGTTACGATATGGCTATCTGGGTTTGAATACTCCTCATGGGCTGAAGGGGGGGTTGCAGCTTGCAGCTGCAGCTTTCGACTTAATGCTCAGCCCCCCACGCCGTCTGGCAACCTGATCGAGGAATCTTGTTTCAGTTTGGAGTGCAGCTTCAAACAAGCAAAACGTATCTCAAGTCAGAAGTTCCTCAAGTATCACCTCCTACCTCAGCATAACATAAACCCGGCCCTACCAACCCCTGGATGGAACTTCCCCTTTACAAGGACATCCTCTTCGCGCAGCCTGTGTGGACGTCTGTAGTGCACATTCGGATCTCGAGGAACTTGTGCCTGGCAGGAAGCGACAATGTCGAGTGAGGGCGCATGAGTCTCCATGCATCCAGGATGAATGCGAACCCTCCGCACCAACCAGGGCTCATGATCACCTCAGAGGTCCCTGATAGTCCGAACTTGCTCGTGGTTATTGGGGTACGCGGCTGTAAAAAAGAGAAGAAAAAACAGAAGAAAATCGTGTAAACAATTGAGTTCATGCCTGGGCCGCATTGCAGCTGACTTTGTCATTTCAGGGACAGACAGTGCGCCACTAGGCTGGCTTGGCCCTCTAAAGGCTTTGCCTCGTTGCTGCGTCTGACCGAGCCAGACGCCCCAGCTCGTGGCACGCGGCCTCCCAACAAGTGAACCAATCGGCAGCTTAGGTCGACAAAGCCAAATAAATCATCAGCTCATCCCGCGCGTCACAGCTGAGGCGTGAACCCTCACTGCCTAACACTCCAAGCCACAATACAACACGTACAGAAATCATTGCCGTATCCGCAGCTGCGTAATCCTGCATTGCTTTCGTATTTGGATCGAAAGGATATCGTCACTTGTGTTTCTCATAGTTGTCTTTCAAACACACATGCAAGTGTCCGAACCTGCGGGCGGCGTAGGCTTTGGCGCCACCTCCACAAGGGTCAGCAGTGTCAATCAACAAGCTGTCCCTGCAAGCACAAGTTCCTGCCTTGAAGTGTCCCTCCCGGCGCGGCTCCCATCCTCCAAGGCGCGACCGGACTCTCTGTAAGCTCAACGTGTTTGCAGAAAGCTCAACATCTTTGGGTTGAACATAGCAGTCCACTTTCTGGTAAACCTGCGAAGGACATGACATGCAGACACGCATCAAGACTCTTGGCGTTGGCTTCAGGCAAATTTCACGTGCGAAGTCGCCAAGCAGTTGCCAAGCATCAAAAAACAGCTTTGGGGGATTACGATCCACTGCTTTCGTGAATCGAATTAACCAAGAGCGGGCACATCGTGCGGTCCTCTGAGCCGGCACATCTTGAGCACGGTGCGGACCCAGCCTGGGAACACGGCTTGCACAAGCCAGATTAGCAGCTTAGCAGCAGCTTAGCATGCTCAGTGAGCTCCAGCGTAAGACAGCATCACACGAGCTATTCTTGCAGAGGCAACAAGCATGCGGTGAGAGAGCATCGCTTCAAGGATTACAGATCATAAGAACATGCCAAGCACCATGGAGATATGCGGGCTCGGAAACATATACCTGGCGTATGAATTTGTTGAGCCACCTTGCCTGCATCGTGGCAGGTGAGTACCGAGATTCTCTCCTCCACCTCGGAATTCGCGGTGACAAGTTGCCAACATGCGATGAGCTTTAAGGAGGAAGCCACGATACGCGCCTGGATCCTTTTGTGTGAAGAGTCTTGAGAATCAAGCTGTGAGGGACTCAAACAGAAAGCGATTCATGGACACGGATGTTCCTGGCTACTTCAGGGCATCTCACCTCCCTGTGTAGGTGAAGGACACCCTGAAGTGTCTGAGTCCCACTCCGAAAGCTCCGAGAACCAGGTAAGAACCTGGCCAGGTAATGGCTCAAAGCAGGCGCCGAATGGACCAACAGCTCGCAGGGCTTCAAGTTACTGGGAAGTGCCAGCACACCGGTGAAGTCCAAGGATTGCTGCAGCTGCAGCCCAGTGTAACCCTGAATGAAGACCTCCCCTTCCTTGTTGCAAGGCCTCAGAGCGCAACTTCGAGGCTCGAGTTCGTTGATGCCTGGCAGGGAAATCCTATGTCCAAGGCGCTACTGCTAGCTTCGTCTGCTTTCTTGCCCGTGCTTCGTAATTTTCCCCGGGATGGGCCAAGAAAGCAAGCAAGCGCACACAGAATGCCCGCTACAACCTAGAGCATGCAGAAGCCTTCGATAAACATCATGGCGACCGTGGTGCAAGGAGAGCAAGGAAGGCCATCATGACTATCCTTCTCATTCCCACTCGTTCACACTGTGGTCGCAAACACAAAACTGCTATGTATTGCGCTGTCACCCTCTGGCTTGCCGGGCTCTCAAGTCCCTGCACAAGGGCACAAGGAAAAACCCTACTTTAGTACGAAAATGGAGCCATTCCAAATGAAGTCCTGCCTAAGTGCTCGACTGAAGAAAAGCGCATGGTCAGCCAGCACATTAAGCAGCTGCCTGGCACAATGGAAAACAACTGTCACGGAGTCGAGAACTCCTTCAACTCTCAAGGGCTAGCTCGCTGCGTCTGCTGTGGGTATGTTGGAAGCCTGAAGTTGGCTTCCGCCTTTAGCTTGGCAGCGAGCTTCAGCTGATCTTCCGTCAGTTCCTCAGGGAACGCTGCTAGGGCTCGGGAAGTGCCTCAAATGAGAACTTCACAAAGTTGGTCTCTTAAGTGGATTCAAACAGGGGTCTTCAGGACGTTGCTTGTGAGCTTTGTATGAGGCTTCGAAACAGTGGCTGCGTCGGCTTGTGGTCTGGACCACACTAAGGCATGAAGGTGATTATTTGCGAGCTTAGGACTGCTGCTGGCAATCACAACAAGCATGTTGCAAGCTGATTTGCAAATGCTAGGTCAGCAGATGCAGGCGCATTTTGTTGCTGCTGTGGCATGTGCGGTTCGAAGCTCCTATCCACTGAGCCACACTGTGGAAAGTGCAAACCCTGTGCTGCCCTTCTTGCTCTACCTTGCCGAGGGCGGGTCATACTGAATGAGGAAGTCGTCCAGGTCCATCGGTACAAGCACTGCATGGCTCAGATGCCAGGGCCGCCAGGGAGTGTTGTCTTCTTGTTCCCATCGCAGGATGCAAGGTCGGGCTGCAGTCTCGGGATTTGAAGCGGGCGATGGGACTGCCTCTAGACGACATGTGTGAATGTTGCTTGCACATCTGGAACTTGCACTGGCTTTTGCCATCCAACATTGCGACCTCCCCTAAAGACATCTCGAGACCCAGTGCTCAAAACTTCCAGTCATCACCTGAGAATAAGAAACAGGTTCAATCTCGCAAGTTGCGTTACACGATGAAAGAGCTCCCGTCTTGCACTGGCAATCGCGCATGTACATGTTCGAGTCGCTAGTGCAGCAAACCTTAGTGAAAGCCATCGAGGCACATTCAAACACACAAGACAACTATAAGGCGCTTACAGTAGAGTCATCCTTTCAAGAGACAGCCTTTTTCCGTAGGCTAGTAAGCACGCAGTGCAAAGATCCGACGAAAAAGTCAATCGGATTGGATATGATGCGCTCTGGGGACTAGGTACCAATACCAACCCGGGAGGATTGTCACACATACAATCACTGCAAGGAAGACCTTGGAGACCACGTAATGGCCATTCCAGCCTGCGGTCATATGCATGACCAATGACTCGAATGCTTTGTCCCAAGCCAGACCCACAACAATGCCAAAGGCATTGGCGATGCTGTGCGCCACCTCCTCTTCATGAGGAACAGAATAAACCAAGCCGACCACAAAGAAGGCCAGCCAGGTAAGCGGAAAGGCCACCACAATGTAAGTGTCCATGATCGAGCAGTGTGGCCGCGCTATCAGCGCGACCCCGCGGACGAGGCACCAGGCCAGAGCAGAAGAACAAGACTCTCGCAAAAGCTCTGCATCGGAGATACCCCAGCCTGGGATCCACCCGCAAGCCTTTGCCTTGGCCAGCACAGGCGGCAAAATGCCAAAGAAGATGCTCCAGACAAGGATCATGCCAGTAAGCTGCCTGTCCCAGTCCTTGGGCTTTTGGATAAGGCCCTCCACAGAATGCAGGTACCCAGTGTGGAGGAGGAGCAGCGCTTGCATCACAAGGAAGCCCATGACCAGGGCGGCACCCTCCATGAAAATCTTGTCTGAAAAGTCCTGCCATCCACACCACCTCCTCCGCACCTCCCAGGCCTCATCGGATCCTTCACCCTTCATGCACATCTCACCATGTGATTGGCAGATGGCATTCCGATCTGGAAGGCAAACCTGCATAGGGCCTTTCACGTGAGAATCCTGCAGGCTGGAGGGAGCAACGGTCAGCAACATGATGGCTCCTGTGCTGACCTCACCTGATTCACTGCTCGAGTCAGCCTCATCGGTCTGCAGGAAGCGAGTTTCCATGAGCCGGCTGGACTCCGGCGGGAAGGGCCGCCACTCCGCGTCCTCACAGTACTCCCATTGCACATCCGCATCTCCTGCACTTTTCTTGCGCAGCAGCTCGCCAAGAAAAAGTGCCCCTCTCAACAGCGCAACGGCCCAAGGCAATACCTGTCCCACAAATATTGAGCAAACGACAGGCGGCAAACAGTATAACACAATAACAAAACAACAAATGCCCGACATGAGCCAAGAAACGAGAAAGGATTTCCAGCCACTGTATCTAACGCTCCATTGCAAGCGGCCAAGAGCTTGAATCAACGTAAATCCCGTTGCATGGCTGGACAACTGACCCAGGGCTGTATAATGCAGCTGCGAATGCCTGACCTTGTATATGAGCCAGTTACAGAATGCGAACATCATGACAGACAAACAGCCGTAGATCTTAGCCTGAACAATTGGGCCAGCCCTTTGATTCAATCCAGGGTATTTGCCCATCCACAACTGCTCAATCAGCAAACCATGCATTGCGACGTTGCAGGTGTTGGTCGCAAAGATGGAAACCGTTGTGCACGTCCTTAGCTGACCATTCTCGCTGCTGCAAACAAGATCTAGTTCTTGCCAGCTGGAAGACACTTGTGCCAATGCAACCAAGACACAGCTCATACACTGCATCTTGCATCTTTTGGTTGCTGGAATGTGCAAAGTACAAAATGGCCATCATTGTCACAACAAAGAAGACCATCACCAGGCTCAAAATCCATTCTCGCCCAACTATTCCTGCACCGTGCTCCAATTCTTCCATCTTTTCCTCCCACTTCTCCAGCTTGTAATGCACATCAGATTTGTTCATACATGTTTCCACAAAGTCTGCACAACAATTTCCAATATTGTTGCATTGAGAAGTGCACTGGCAGGCATTCTCGGGACAATAGCCATGGCAACCACCAAAATGCTCGCAAGTTGCCTCTGATTGGTTTTTCCCTTCCAAACGCTCACACACGCCTGCGTGGCTCCTTTTTGTTGCCTCTTCAGTTGGGTGAAATTCGAAAAGAAGAACCAATCCCAATACCATCAACAGAACACTCAGGGCAGCAGAGGCCTTGACACAAAGTCGCGAACAGGCCACCATTGCTGGTTTTGAAACGTGCTTTGCTTCCACAATAATACATGTCAAGAACAGGCGCTGTGTGCAGCAGTTATCTTGAAATAACAGGGTGCAGTTGTAGTTTTGCATCGGGGCATCATGCCAAACAAAAGCATTACACGTTGTGTCTGCGAGATGACTTTGATCCCAACTGGCAATAAGAGAGCAGTGCTCGCTGGACGCATGCGTCACATTCATCAAGTGCTTCCACAACCCATGGACAAGACCTGCACAGGAATGAGACGCGAAGAAAGATCATTAAAGACGGCGAAATATACGTACCGAATCAAAATTGGAAGCACTCACGTCTGCCACAAAGTCCAGAAAAATCGCACAATTTGGTGCAAAAGAACGCCAATGGTACAGCAATGGAATTGTCAGCGCAACCCCGTATGCGTTTTGAGGGCTATAGATCTCAACTTGAACCGTTGAAAATTGAGCTTGCAGGGGTCAGCAATTTCAGAGGTGGTTGACCCAGAAAAACAATGGGGCACAGCCAAAAGAATGGCGTTGAGCTGCACGGCCTGACTTTTTTGCTTCGAATCAAGCAACTCGGCCGGACGATCTCACATGCACAAAAAATGCCATTCCGGATCGCGGATCAAATTCATACTTTTTCTTAAGAGTTCAATGACATTTCAACAACCATTGTGTTTTCTTTCTTCCAAAAATGCGTGTTCTGATTGGAAAAACCACGTCCATCAACCCCAAGACATTTTAACGTTTGCGGAGAACACGATGTCCAGACTGAGATGGATCAACTTTCACGCAACAAAATGTTTGCTTTAACCAGTTTTGTATTGTTTCCGTTTGCCAGATAAGATTCTTGAGGCCTCATACAGTTGCATCACTGTATCCGGGTAATGTTTGAACAATAGCTACAGATAACAAAATCTTGTGAAGCCAGCTACAAGTTGTCATTCCATTTGGGACAATAACGATCCAGTAGTTCTACAAGTTCAAATAACAGGCCCAGGTTTCCTTGCAGCAAACACGAATGCCCACACGTTCCAAAACTGCAAACAGCTGAAAGATAAAACGAGAAAAATCACCGGAACGAGAAAAATGCAGCCGAGCAGCAGGTGATACGCAGAGCACTTGCAAACGAAAATGTAATATTTTTGAAACCACTTGAGTCACTTGACTCTACTGTCCAAGAGTCAACACGATGAGCACGCTTGAAAACCCGAAATGCACAAGAACAAACCCTTGAAGCCCCAGACCATGGACAAAATGCAAACGGTTGGATGACTCAGGCTCTGCTCGAACCCTGAAGCTTTGCAAAATAAATTACAAAAAACAATCTTTGGAGAACATGTGTAGTTTAACCCGAATTTACGTGAGATTAGGATATCGTCGCCCAGCGATATAAGAAGAAATAAGTAAAAGAATGACAGACCATCGAGGCGACATTCGGCAGCAAAATGATGCGCACATTGCGCGAGTGGAAAGTCGATACTAGCTCCAACTGGTGTATGGACATATGTACATGATCACGTGTAGCTGTCGTACATGGTTTCTTGCCGTACTGAGTAATTGAAGATTTGTACACCTGTAATCAATAATTACACAAACGTGTACATGTCTCTGTGTGTGTCTTCGGTGTGTGTGTGTGTGTGCACCCCCTAAGGGGTCACTGGAGGACTGTGAATTCCGCAGTTTTTGTCATTTTGCAGAAGAGAAAATTTGGATCGCCTGTCCTGGCCAACGAAGA